AAAATAGGTAACCTCTAAGTCTCTTCACCAACTAGAGCTTGAGAAGAAGATGATGAGCTTAGTGAGAGGATGATGCTAGTGATCCCTCACTAAGATGGTATGAAAGTGTAGAGAGAGTTTTTGGAAGACTAGAGCTTTCTTTCTCTCTCTTCTTTTTCACTAATGACCCCCTTAGGCTTCAAAAAGATGATAGTCATCTTTTTCTTGAGTCAACAAGTTGACTCTAGCAACCAAAAGCCCATATGAACGTCTATCCCTTGAAATTGGGCCTCTTGCGCTCAATTTAATTTATGTTGTCATACAACCCAATCTCCGTGTCCAAAAGGATAAAGCCCAATGAGCCCGGAATTTAAAATTCCCGTTTAAAGCCTATTCCGACATCACGTGTCGTTTAAATTAATTCCATAATTAATTTTGCCTTAACCAATTAACAAAGCTTAATTGATCTCTTCAATTCATCATCTCCATAATGGTTTCTCAAATAACTCAAGTTTAACGGTGTGCGATCCATTAGGTTCTAATTAGCAAGGTCGTGGGAAATTTGAACTCTTTGTAATTGATTGTGAATTAAAACCCCTTTTTAATTCTCCCTATTAGTTAGGATCATTAGTCCTTAGGGCTTCCGCCATCCATGAGTGACACCTAGCATTATGTCATGGATATTCAAGCTAAGTAGAATAAACAGAGAACATATTCAGTTGGAATTACAATGCAATATGGTCCTTCCCTATTACAATGCTTTTAATCTCATTACTAGGGCATGGTGCATGTCAAACCCCTAATGAGATTGTCACGTCTTATATGATTTGTATTAGTATGACAAAAACATCCTTCTAGGTCATACCGAATACTCTGATAAGAGATTTGCTTAATCATATCTTCCGAGCATTCTCCTTCTTTACTGAAGGATAGAGATTCCATGTTGTACACTCACATGTCTCCATGAGTCAATCGTGAACCCCAACAATGCTTGTACCACATCCGTGATTAGGACATGTCTTTATAGCATCATCAAAGATCCACAACCTTCCCACAAGACAACCATGGTGCCTCAGGTCCAAGGTCTAATTTGCATTATTCCAACTTGGAGTTTCTTGTTTGACATATAAGTAAAATTTCCATACAAGAAATTTTCGTTTGATCGCGTTCAGTGAACTCATTCTCTATTGAGCACCTACATACTTGTCTCAGTGTCTCCACACGAATAACTTGAGACCAATCATCCTCCCAATTAAGAAGACATAGCATGTACCGGTCTTTCCGGATTGTCAGTGCCCATTTGACAATCCTATGACTAGGAACATTTAGGGCATGAAGATAATAGAGGAAAGGTATCCTGAATCTAACTTCCTTAGATTACTTTCTCTCTATCTCATATCCCTTGGACTTATTGTTTAAGCATGGGTAACTGTTAATGAGACATTTACTAATAAACAATAAACTTGCCCTTTAAGAGGATTAAACATAAGTGTAATACATGAAATATCCTTAAAAGATTACATCATATGATTGGCTTTTAGGGCATATTTCCAACAAAAACCAGCCAAACTTTAAGTTGTAAATCAAGTTTCAAAACTCAAAAATCGATCCTAATCAACCCAACCATCAGTTAGAACATGTTGAGAGGACAAGAAAGCATATCTAGATCGACGAAAATGGTGGCCGGAATCACTGGAATGAACGCCGAAAAATTTAGATAAAAATTGGCATGTTTTTGAGATTTTCCGGCGACAGCAGCGATTGGCTTCGGCGAGAATGGGGTGGGACAAGAAGGGGATGCCGGGCCAGTTCATTTGGGACCGGTCCAGTCGTCAGCGGTGGCCTAAGGTGGTGGTGGTGGCCCAAAACGTGAGCGGCTGGGGGTGTTCTTTCGCAAGGAAGAGGGAGGTTGGAGAGAGAGAGAGAGAGAGAGAGAGAGAGAGAGAGAGAGAGATGTGATTTTTTTTTTTAATAACCAACTTTGAAATATTTACGATTGTGCCACTGCACTTCCGTTGATCGTAATTTTTTCGTTACAACTCCGATTTGAGCCCACTACATGTCTACGAACTCATATTGATGCTATCTACGTCATGGTGCGGTTCCTTTCCCCAAAATTCTACTAGATTAAAAAGTGACCAAAATGGCCCTATCCCCGAGGGCAACATTGTAATTTCATAATTAAATCAATTTAAATTATTAAAATGGGTAATTAAAATCGGGATGGGGTGTCACAAATTAAAGATGTAAACCATGCTTAAAATTAGGCACTTTACCATGCTTAAAAAATAATAGTGAAGATTGAAAATTAACTAAGAACATAAATAAAGTTATCCAAGGACGAATTAAATAGGAAATAAAGAAAATGATTATAGAGATTTAAGTAATTAAGCAACAATTTAAAGGGCAATTTAGTAATGTAAGTACTTATATTGAATAATAAAATAATCAATAACATTAAATGGATTAATTAGGAAAGAAATAAATTATATTAAGTAATTAAATATTTAATCAACAATATAGAACAATAAGTAATTATTTTATATTTTGAGGAACAGCTCGGAAGACTTATAAATATGAATTCCATAGGTACTAATCCCAAAGTGACCACTAGCGTGGTGGTTAGATGGCTCTAGAGCTTAGAAGGGGGAGGGGTTCAAACACCTGTGTGCGTGAGTTCAAGTGAATTCTTTCATTTCGTAAAATATTCATTACTCTTGGTGTGCATAACAAGAATTTCGTAAATTTTTTTTGAAAAAAAAGCGAATATAAGTGCAAATTTTAGCACGAATAAAGGAACAAGTAAAAAGCATATATGGGTTAACCAAGTTGGTTAGAATAGATGTGCTCCCACTCCACAACTGAGTTTGAATCCCCTATTTGTAATTTAAATTAATTTAAAATAGAATATCATTTGTATTAAAAAAAAAAATAATAATGCTCTCTAAATTTTGTGAGCCGTTTTAGTGAATGCACAGGAGCAAAGTCTGTGCACGTGTCAACGAGAAGCAGCTAAAGGAAGCGGCTCATGTGCTTCCTTTCCTTTCCTGTATTCTCTGGCGCCAAAATTCAAACACTATTCGTGCTCGCAAAATGTACTCACAGTCACAGGAGCTCCTCCGAGACTACCATGAAAATGAAGAAGAAGAAGCTTCGAATTCCGTAGTGTCTCCTCCAACAACTTGCTCAGAGGGCCACAGATCCACGCTCTTCCTCCGAACCAAGCAAGGCGGCTCCATCTGCTTGCTCTGCTTCTCCTCCTACGCCCTCTCTCAGCTCCCTCAGGCCATCTCCTCCGAGTCTCCGACCCCCCCTTCCTCCGCTCTCTCCTCGCCTTCCACCCTCACTTCCTCGTCTCGCCTCTCGTTCATGCTCCCTTCCTTCGCCGACGACACCATCGCACGACAAGTCGTCCATCTCATTTCTGCTCTCTGTGAATCAGCCGCTGCCTCGCTCTCTGCTGACTTCGTCGCTAGGGTTTCCTTCTGCCTCTCTTCTGGTGCCTTGGCCTGGAGTCGCCGTCAGCTTTATACGGTATTTCCACCATCCGCATCTCTCCATTCTCTCTTTGTTTGTCTGTGAATTCTGGAATTGCTGTTGAGACATAGATAAACTTTTCCGGTTGTGATTTGTTTTCTGTTTGCTTCCTGAGAAAATGATTTGTGTTTCTCGGTTGCCAAACAGTGTATGACTTGTTACGGTTGGACGAATTTGGTGAAATCGAGCTTGATTCTTCTACTGTTTCTCATATTAAAATTCTGTTTGTTTGCGAATTCACATATCAATTTTAAGATTTGGATACATACTTTGGGTAATGTTATTCTGATTTTTTTTTTTTTCCGAAGGTAATGTTATTCTGATAGTTTTGGTTTCTCATGGTACAACAATACTACAGTTGAAGGATTGTTAAATAAAACCTGAAATTGCCTTACTTATATTATAATGCAAAATAGGATGGGTTACTGTTGGTTGAGATCCTTGAATAGTTTGTCATGTTTCTTTGAATTTAGATTTCTCTACTCTACAAGTCAAAATGAAATTTGAGTGGGCAAGCTAGGCCGTGAGAGTGAGAAATCTGAGTCAACAGTCACTACATGGGGGTCATCAGATTTCTTACTCTTTTTATTTTATGAACATCAGATTCCTTACTTTAAGCCATGACTTTCATATCCAAGTTTAATGGCAATGGTTTAGAGTCTACAATGAAATCTCAACAATGATAAGCCTCTGTGCACCCACTGGCTTCTACTAACGAAACTATTTTCAACAATATCTTTAAGACTTACATCTAATTGATCTCAAAAGATATATATCCCTGCTAACAATTCTGCCATTCTTTAAATTTAGCTTAAACTGCCAGCAGAATAATCCTTACGCTCACATTAGAGACAAGTATGGCCTCATTACCAATCTTGTTGAAGGTCTTGAATTGCCAAGGTAACAAATAAAGAAAACTGAGAATAAAACACGTTCCTTCCATGCATTTAGTACATTATAACTCAAATCCTCTATTTTATATATTCCTTTAACACAGTGAAGATATTCGGGAGAAATCCTGTTTGTTCTATACAAGGTATCTGTTCTCCAATACGCATCAGAGGTTGGTGATGGAACTGATTTTTTATTTGCCTTTTGCCCCAAGCTATTGCACTTGTCTCTAGAGGCGCTCATGAAGACCCAAAGCGATGATGTCCGCTTGAATTATGTAGGTCAGTTTTCCACTTCTTTAATACTTTCTTTTTTGTGCCTTATAAGTGTGGTCCATTTTCCCTTATTTAAAGAACAGCTCAATAAGATATGACTCGCATTTTGGTCAGCTTGTTATACCCCATGTGTTTCTATTTATTTAATTTTTCAGAGTAGGTTTTCCTTTTGGGCACATAGGCATATATAGACATCAAGCCTGCAAACGAACTCCTAATTTCACAACAATTGTTTCTTGTTGATGTCAGACCATATTTTAACTGTAAAGGCGAAGGTCCTTGCAATTTCTCTCATTAATAGTTGGATCAGTTAGTTCGAATGATTGTAGAACAATGCCGTTAATGAGTTCCATCAATTTGTTCATATCATGACAAGATACTTCGCATCTTGAGTTTATTTAGAATCAAACGATAAAAACGTTGCAGTTCCAAGTGCTTGAGTCTTTGACTATAGAACTTACTGCCTGTAGCGGAAACAATTATAATTTTAAACCTTTCAGTTAATAAATAACTCTTTGGGGAAGTGATCCTGACATAGCATGGAATGCTTCCCATTTTACATGCACATTTCCTCAATGGTATCAGTCCTGTCTTCTCTCAACTAACAATTTCCATAACAATTTCCATATTACTTGTCCAGCATTCTTGACAGTGTTGGCTAGGGAGGACTTTTCGGGGCTGCATATACAGTTGATTTAAACACCATGAGTTCATCCGAAGGAGACAACTTTGAGCAAGCAACAGAAGATTTTAAAGATGGGAATCCAATGAATATATTGTTTACGGAGGCCATCAAAGGCCCACTGCTTTCAAAGGACAGCCAAGTCCAGATCAGCACACTGGATCTACTGTTTCATTACATGTCCTCCTGGGAAGGCACTTCAGGCAAAGAAACCCAATTCCTAGTGGAAGAGAACATTGCAGAATATGTATTTGAAATACTAAGATTGTCAGGTTAGTAAAGTTTCAGTGCCAAATAGAACAATAACAGCCGTCCTCTGCTTGATATTTTTTGTGCTGATAGAGTTGCATTTGAGTATTGCCAAACATCAGGAAACCAGAAACTGTGCTGTTTAAGTAAGGAGTCAACAATCATCATTATTTAGAAGTATTTATTGAATTTCTATAAATTTTGCAGTGTTCCTAGTGTGGATAGCTTAAGCTTCTTCTTTTTTTGGTCATTAGATGCGTTCTTGCAAAGCTTATCTATGACTATGATTTAGTCAAACCCTCAGAAAGTCCAACTTCATGAACCCAAGCCTTAGTTCGTAGATGTGTTTTTTGTGACAAACTAGTTTCAGTAATAAGCTTTGTTGAACTTCTTTTTTCGTAAAACAAACAAATAAAAACAGCTAATAAGCTTTGTTGATGAACAGAATGCAAGGATCCAGTGGTCAAATCTTGTGTTCAGGTACTTGACTTGTTATCAAAAGCTGACCAAGCTTTCAAACGGAGGCTTGTTGTTGGGTTTGCAACTTTGGTGCCAGAACTCCATCTGTTCATGGGAATTTGAATCTACAAATTTCAATTAAAGAAGCAATGCAACATGCTGTATTAGCTTGTCTAAGTATCTCGGAGAAGAATCCTTGTCAACTTTTGCATTCCTTGTTCCTACTTAAGGAGGCCTATAATCATGAAGGAAATTCTACTGACTCCACTGAAGTGGAACTACGACAATTTATTGTGAATGTCTGTACAAAACATTTGTTACCTTGGTTTGGAACCAACTTCAGTGAAATGGATGAGGAAACTGTCCTTGGAATATTGGAAACATTTCATTCGATACTGCTTCAGGATTCCAACAATCAAGCAGCAGAACTTGCAGAGAACCTAGTTTCGAGCAGTTGGTTCAGTTTGTCGTTCGGATGCCTAGGCTTATTTCCCATAGAAAAGATGAAATGGAGGGTGTATCTGATGCTCAGTTCACTGGTAGATGTTCTTATGGGAAATGATTCTGGGCAACCTATTAGAGATGCTACTTTATGTCTCCCATCTGATCCCATTGATTTGCTCTTTCTACTTGGGCAAAAGAACTCCCGTAATCTGGAATTATCTTCTTGCCAATCTGCCATTTTGCTGATTTTATACACCTGTTCTTTATATGATGAAGGGTAATTGAGATTTTGATTTCTAGTTTCATTCGTTTTGCTATGTTTTTTGCAGTACATTTAACAATTACGACCTACTTTTCTTCACATCTTTAATACTTTGCTCCCCAGACTTGCAGATGATAAGTTGGTTTTAGCTTCTCTAGAGCAATATATTCTGATCAACAGTAGTGATCTCCAAGGTGGATCCACTGATCTATCCACAGTGACGAGGCTGGTTTATCTTTATGGTCTAGGGTTTAGGGAAAGAACAGTCATATGGTAAATGTTAATTCAATTGCAGAATTAATAGCAGGAGGAGATAATCATGGATCAACACTTTTGGTGTTCTTATTGACACAACTTCTGCCTATCAATGATCTTGGGTTGGGGATTGCTGGAAATGCAAGGGACAAGTGTGACTACAAAGAATAATTGGAGTAGGATGATTGTGGAAGAGCTGGCGATGTCTTTAGCAGTCCCATGCCTAGCATCAAAAAATTTCATTAATCTTCACAAGCCTGTAATTCATGTAGCAGTTACATTGTTAAAGCTGCCGAAGGTTCTTGAGTGGATGAGATCGGTGTTTGATGATTCTTGCATATCTGGCATCAGTCAAAACCTTGCAGAAAATAATTTGAGCACAGAGATTGTACTTTTATTTCGAGCTCTACTGAAGTCTGATGACTTAAAGGCGGAGCAATTTTCTATGCCATGCACTTTTCTGTTCTGTTGATTTTGTTCGTGTGCTTTAAGGAACTAAAATGAGGTTTCCTTTTTTAATACTTCAAACCTGAAAATGGGTCGTTATACTTCTGTCCAATTTGTTTTAGAATGAAACACTGGCCGATGGACTTTCCTTAAATTTTAGCCTTGGTCATTTCAGGCAGCATATTAAAAAGAGGGACAATGCAGTTATTTTACACATTGCAGGCCTGCAGAAAACAGAAGTACACTGACAACAGTCAAGATGAAAGTGCAAAAGAGCATAAATAAATAAATAAAAGCGCGGTCGCCATCCTGGATGACATGGAAAAAGTTTGAGTATCTCATTCACTTGATGTTATCCGAGTCTTGTCTAGACAGGGATTCTGGAGGATTATATTTTGTAGATAAGAGATTGTTAAATAGACCTTCTCTTTTAAACATTAACAGTAACAGAGGGCGGCTAAGAAAATCATTTAATTTTCTTTATTGAATCTCCATTTCTCATTTCATTGACAGTAACAGAGGTGCACTGAGTGAGACACCTCCCTTTTGATCATTAACTGCATAAAGTGCTTAGAACTGAAGATTCATTATAGAATCAAAATACCCTTTTGTTAAATGTAAATGCATTTAATATTTTGCCTTGATTTACTTTATTGTCAAAGACTTAGGCGCAGATCACAACACTTCATTAATTTTTAACAGGCTAATAAGGAATGAATGAATGAATGGTACTTACTTTTCATAAAAATTCCTGAAATATTGATCACTACCAAATCAGTGATCACTATACTCAATTTCACCTAACAGTAACCAACCAAAATCAATCATTTTGGCCCCAGAAATTAACATATGAAAGTCTCTCATGGTTTTGATGTTATCTTCAATAACCACATGTTTCTCCATCTCTTCGAGGGCAAGCCGAGCAGCTTCTCTATCACTCTGCCGCTGCTTTTTGATGAACTCATTGGCTCTCATGATTTCTGCTTCTGCAGCTCCAAGCCTCTCGTTCTTAGCTTCGGTGGTAATTGTTGTAGTGTAGAGAGCATGGTGATGTTCTGCTTTAAGGATTGTGGTGGCAAATCGAGCCTTCAACATTGCAACCCTAGCCGCCCTTCTCGGAGACAGATCATTATTCATCTCGTGATCGGATTTAGAGGCGGCTTTGACAGGAGATGCACGACAGAGATGAGGGCGTAGAACTATGACTGGTGTTTCACAGCCCCTCATGAAACTACTGCAACCTTGGGATGAAGTAACGTCACAAGAAGAAGTTGATGGCGTACAGAGAAGGACATGATCACCACCTTTAACTTCCTTGTTCAAACCCAAACCACCTTGAAATTTCTTTTCCAAACCCAGCCCGTTATCAACTTTGTTTTTCTTGGAACCCAAGCCACCATCCACTTTCTTCATCAAACCACCTTCAAGTTTCTTCTTCAAGCCCAATTTACCACCACAGCCACCACGACCATTTTTCTTGATATCACCACCTTCAAGTTTCTTCTTCAAGCCCGTTATCAATGGATTGCACGGCTGATCTGAGAGAATGCTCTCAACCCACGCTTTGGTGGTACGAGAGAAACGCATATTGTTGAAATTGAATGAGATATAGAAGAAAACCCAAATGAATCCTTACGATAGAGAGAGAGTGTGTGAATCCTTAGTTGATTAGGAAACCCAAATGAACTATAATTGTTTGCGTTGCTATAAACCCAAGCAACTGGAAAAGTTGCTTTTAAATCTTCACGAATGACGACCGCCTCTCTCTTCTCTCCTTTTCAATATTTTTCGGATATTGTTTTTTTTTTTCCTCCCTTTTTTGAGTCAAAGTCAAATCTATTTGACAAAGGTCAAAGTAAATTCATTTGCTTCGTATAAAAAAAAAATTTCATTTGTTTCACTATCTATATATATTTTTTTTGAAACATAATTTTATATCTATATTTTATTTATGTTACCTACCAATTCAAAATGAAAAACATTTTTTAAATTTGCTTAAATGGCAAAACAGTTTTGGTGTTTTTCTAAATAAGCTAATTTAGTCCTCATTTTCGTCAAAATTCTGTTTAAATTGAAGAAAAAAATATGTAAATATATTAAAAATTGATTATAAATATTCAAATTCAAATCATAATAAAAACTTAAATTATTAAAACCCATGTCCTGTAGCAAAAAAAAAAGTTAATGAAGCATTCATTAGTGTGAACAGTGGCTTGCTGAGTGTGGCTAGATAGGGGAGAGAAAATAAGGCTAGTCAAATCCTTCCAATGTACAACTTTTGAAGTAAAAGTGGGTTTTAATTTAGAAAAAAAATTAATTGAATATTCAAGTTTATCAAAACTCCAAACTTCGTTCATACCAATATAGTGATGGAATCTTTGAAATTTTGCCCGTATCTATTTGAAATTGGTTTTGAGATCAACCACGATTAGTTTTGATATCAGCTGTGATAAGCTGTGCATCATGTCATAAGTTGTGTAGTGAAAAAAAGATAACTTAGACGTCATATTCATTGGAATCTTGACCTATGCCATTATTGGCCCCATCCTATCTCTGAGATGCTATCTTTTTTTTTTTTGTTTTTTTTTTTTGAGATAAAGCGATTTCATTGAAGACAAAAAGAGATTACAGAATATCCTCTACCAAAACATCACACACGACATCAGGAGGGTCCTGTAGCCACGATAATGTTCCTGGTAAGGTAATAGCCAAACGAGCTAAACGGTGGGCTACTCGGTTAGCCTCTCTAAAAACAAACTGAATAGAAGTATTCTCTAACTGGGAAAGTAAAAACTTGCAATCTGAAAACAGAAAACTTAAAAGGGACCTATCCTCGAGCGCGGTTTGGACAGTCCGTATCACTCCTTGCGCATCACCCTCAATGATCTTTGGCCCCGGGCCAAGGTCATGGGAAAATAGAATGGCTGCACGGAGAGCAAGAACTTCAGCATGTTCTGGGGAAGAGACATGGCTGAATCTACATGCACGGGCAGCCACGAAACATCCTGTAGAGTCACGAGCAATAATCCCCCCTCCCCCGGAACTAGTTTGCACATGGAGAGCTCCATCAACATTGATCTTAATGGCTCCAAGAGGGGGTTTCTGCCATTTCGCCTGGGCTCGTGAGAGCGGCAACAACCTGGTAGGCTGATGCTCTTTGAATTCATGCAGCAATCGCACGGCGCCATCAACAACTTCACAAGGGCTTCGACGCTTTGCTGTCCATACGACCGTGTTGCGCTCGTTCCAGAGATTCCACATGAGCATAAAAAGAAGCTCAGTTTTATGACGATCCCCACCCATCAGAATTTGTTCGATCCAGCCGTTGAGGTCCCGTGTATCACGATCACGCCAGTCAGTCAGCAAAGGGCTGTTCTGCCAGATTAAAGCTGTGAAAGAGCAGTCCAAGAGAACATGATGTAGTGTCTCCTCCCGGGCTCCACACAACACACAAACTCCAATATCCCTTGGATTCCTTTGCTGTGCAGCCGTTCTCTTGTGGGAAGGATGTTAAGAAGCACCCGCCAGATGAGCACCTTAACCTTGGGAGGGACACAAATTTGGCAAAGCCGAGACCACGCTTGCGTTGAAACACCGTAGAACATAGTACGATCTGAAGTGCCTTCCCCTTCCTCCTCAAAAAGAAGCTGACGAGCGACTTCATAGGCACTTCGCACAGTCAATTCACCCTCCTTTTCATAATGCCAGACCAGACGATCTGCTGGGCTTCTGAAACTAAGAGGGAGAGTCAGAATGCAGGAGGCCTCTTGAGCACCAAACCATGCATGGATCAGATCTTCCCGCCATTGATGCAGAACAGGATCTATCAACTCACTCACCAGAGCATTCTCATGACCAGCCACAACCGCTGATGTAATTTGAAAGGAGGTTGGCTTGGGGATCCAACGATCGCCCCACACTTTCACCAACTTTCCATCACCAATCTGCCATCGAGATCCTTTGGCTAAAACTATACGTGACTCACATAAACTTCGCCAAATATAGGACGGAGCATGACCCTCACTAGCCTCCAAAATTGAGCAGTTTCTATGATATCTTGCTTTCAAAACTCGAGCCAAAAGGGAGCTAGGCTGGTGGTGTATCCTCCACACTTGTTTAGCAAGCAAAGCCATGTTGAAAGCATACAGATTGCGAAAGCCCATTCCACCTTCACGTTTGGGTTTACACATACGTTGCCAACTCACCCAATGAATCTTCCGTTTATCTTCATTCGCTCCCCACCAGTAACGGGCCATAACCTGTTGGATTTCATCGCATAGGGATCGAGGGATAAGGAAACAACTCATCTGGTAAATGGGAATAGCCTGAGTCACCACCTTCAAAAGAATTTCCTTTCCAGCAAAACTGAGGAACTTCTCCCGCCACCCTTGAACCTTCTTCCACACACGTTCCTTAAGGGGGTTGAAACAAACTCTGCGAGATCTGCCAACAAAGGTTGGAATGCCTAGATATTTGTCATGTTTTTCCACTCTCTGAACACCAAGAATTTGCGCCAGTGCTGATTGGCGAGCTAAGTCCACATTGTTGCTAAAGGAAACACAACTCTTTTGGAGGTTTATTTGCTGACCAGAGGCCAACTCATAGGACTGGAAAATAAGGCGAAGCTGCTGGCACTCAGCCGGGGTGGCCCTTGTGAAGAGGAAGCTATCATCGGCGAAAAACAAATGAGATACCGACGGAGCTCCTCTACTAATCGATACTCCATGGAGGAGGCCCTGCTGCTCAGCGTGCACGATCAGACCTGAAAATACCTCAGCACAGAGTAAAAACAAATAGGGGGACAGCGGGTCCTCTTGTCGGAGACCACGTTGTGGGGAGATAAAACCAACTGGTGAACCGTTAACCAGAAAGGAATAAGTCACAGTAGTAACACATGCCATAATAAGCTGAATCCATTTCGGATCAAACCCCATACGTTGCATAACAGTTTCAAGAAAACCCCACTCCACCCTGTCATACGCCTTGCTCATATCTAATTTCAATGCTTGGAAGCCCAGTTTACCGTGATTGCGGGTATGCAGATGATGAAGAACCTCAAAAGCAACAATTGAATTATCCGAAATCATACGACTGGGGACAAACGCACTCTGGTGAGCACCAATCACGTCATTCAAAATCAATTTGAGGCGGTTGGCCAAAACTTTAGCCCCAATCTTGTATATCACGTTGCACAGGCTGATCGGACGGAGCTGGGTCATATTCTTTGGGTCTTTTACTTTCGGAATAAGAGAAACATGCGTAAAATTAAATTTTGGCAAAAGTCTGCCAGTCCGTACAAAATCGAAAACAGCCTCAGTCACCTCGCTTCCCACAACATCCCAGTATTTCTGAAAAAAGAATGGGGACATCCCAAGAATGGGGACATCCCATCTGGCCCAGGTGCCGTGGAGGGGTGCATCTGAAAAAGGGCCCGTTTTATTTCCTCAGCGGTAAACTCGCATAGCAGAATTTGGTTCATCTCTGGAGACACCCGACCGGCCACTAAGTCACCAAGAGAGTTGAAATTATGATTGCCCGATGAGTGGAAAAGGGATTGGAAATAGTTAATCACCGTTGTTTCCAATCCATGCTCAGAATCCTGCCAAAACCCTGCACTATCAAAAACCCCATGTATTGTATATTTTTTACGCCTGGAAGAGGCTTTGTGATGAAAAAATTTTGAGTTTCGATCCCCAGCGGATAGCCAGATGGCGCGCGATCGTTGAGGCCAAAAGAGCTCATCCTTTGCCAAAAGGGAATCCAGATGCGCCGTCAACCGCTTGCGGTCCTCCACAACTTGAGGAGAACAAGGACTGTCCAATAACACACCCAGTTGTGCTCTAGTTTTCTGTAACTCTCGTTGGGTGCCTCCAAAACACTCGCGACTCCAAGAGAGAAGTTTTAGGAGAGTGGATTTAATTTTGTCAAAAACCAGCTCCGGTGCATCTCTGCCAATACCATTCGACCACCCTTCCTTAATTGTATTAACACAATCTGCATGTGTTGACCAAGCCTCTTCACAACGAAAGTGGCGCTTTCTAGAGGATCTGCGGTGCACACTCGTCCCTGTGGATAAGAGAATAGGCAGATGGTCCGACTTGGATGGGTTCAAATGAGTCACTTTGGCGTAAGGAAACAGCCCACACCAATCCCAGTTAGCTAGAACACGATCCAGCCGAACTCTAATATCTTGGGGGCAGTTACGCCACCATGTAAATCTGGGGCCCGTAAAGCAGAGGTCCTTCAAACCACAACTATCGATAGCTTGCCGGAAAAGTTGCATTTGGCGTTCATTCCGTACCGCTCCCCCTATTTTTTCCTGAGCTATAAGTATCTCATTGAAGTCACCCAAACACACCCACGAGAGGGAACTGGCGGCACCCAGATGGCACAGCAAATCCCAGGACTTGTGCCTCTCAGACGTTACCGAATGACCATAGAAGCCGGTCAGCCGCCATTTACCTTGCCCACCCACAATCTGCACCTCAGTATCAATGTGGTGAGCACTAAAGGAAAGAGCACGTACGTCAACCTCCTCAGTCCATAAAAGGCATAACCACCTGAAGTCCCAACACTATCAACCACTATACTTTGACGAAAGCCCAACTTAGTTCGAACCGTTTCCATAGCTGCGAATGAGCTACGAGTTTCACTCAAAAACACAATCTTGGGATCTTCACGACGAATCAAACCTCGCAGTGCTTCAACTGTCCAAGGGTTCCCAAGCCCTTGGCAGTTCCAACTTAAAAGATTCATGGCGCCCGGCGGGGTTGGGCCTCGCCAACCTCCGCCGATCCCATCATAGAACATGAGGATGCAGAAGAGAGACACGGACGTTTCCCAACTTGCATACACTCCATACCTGGCACCATACTCAGACTTCGTTTCCCATTCGAGTTCACTATTCCTCCTCGTCGTGGACCCATCCTACAACCCCTTCCCACTCGCTTACTTGGACGCTTTCCTCTTTCCACTCTGTCTTGGGCTGTGATCCTGCGGATGATAGGGCTGAGATTAAATGGATCATCATTGACAAGATCATTGGGCCCGGCTCCAAAGGTGGGTGCAGCATGTATTTGGTCCAAAAGTGGAAAAGAGGGCCCAAAGTCGGACCCAGCGACCCGCATGCAAAGACCTCCCATATTAGTCTCCCGAGTTAAAGGACCCAAGGTCAATTGTGTACCAGTGATTTCATCTGCATGAGGAGCATGTTCAAATACAGCAAGGTCTGGACCCACAAAATCCACATTCAAATCAACCACAAAATCAGGCGGGCCATTAAGATCAGGAATCTGTGTTTCCGATTTTGTTTCCTCTTCTGTATAGCAATCTGCCCCTTGAATCCCGCTGCCTAGGCTGTAAGCAATTGAGGCATTATACGCATTCCCATTATGGCTGTCCAAGTCAGCCCTACCGGCCTCCTGAACTGGCCCCTCCCGCCCCTTCGTCTCCCCATCGTCCACCTCCATCGGCGCACGCATAGACCACCCTCCCGAGGAAGGCAAACCAAAGCATCGTCCTTTGGGTTTATGATAATCATGACCAAGAACATCGTGCTGAAACCACAAACCATAAGGTTTATCACTGTCATCCCGCTCTTTTCCTGTGAAGAGCCCACATTCTTTCTCACCATGATCCAGCATGCCACACAGAAAGCATGTGATGGGTAATTTCTCATACCGCAATTGCACCCATTCCACCGTCCCACTATCATCGGGCAACCGCACTGCAAGCCAACGACGTAGGGGTCGGCCAACATCCAGGAGGACCCGAATACGTAGGTAACTACCAAAGAAATCACCTCGCCTACTCTGGTCCGTCACAAGGTAGGTTCCGATCGCCTCGCCAATCAGTTTACCCATAGCTCGGGTCATAAAAACTAATGGAAGGCCCTTGACTTGCACCCAGAATTCCTGAGAACGTAAAGGAATGGATAGCGGGTCGAGCAAGCCATCGGCTGTAGCCATGAGCAGTAACGAATGATTAAAAGTCCAAGATCCGCCTCTCATAATAGTGTCCCGCGCCGCCCTGGTTTGGCATGAGAAGACGTACTTGTCCTCCTCCATATCAATAATCTGAACTTGTGCCTTAGGTCTCCAAAGGGACGCCATCGTGCGTTTGAACGCCTCCTTATTATACGGTTTCCTTGTGAGCAGTTTGCCCACGAGCAAGAACTTAGAAGTAAGGAGATGCTTGACCTCATGCTATTCGACCACCAGTTCCGCCTGCTCCTCATCAGTTAAAGCAAAACGGCCTGCAAACCGATTCATCATATCGTCCATAAAGCCAAGAGAGAAATCTTGAAGACAAAATCCCCACCTAATCCCCACACCAAGGCCGTAGAGCAGCCACCGTCTGCGTCCCCCAAACATACACCACCACTACAGTGCACAGCGTAGATTGGGGCCATCGTCGTCCGTCGCCAGACACTATAACTCTCCTAAAAACCCTAGCAGAGACCTAGGGGTTTTAGAGAGACTCAGTACACAATTACTTTTTAAATGCCTAGTTAGCAATTTTTGAGATGCTATCTTAGCCAAGGTCTTAAATATCGAGGATTTCGGAAATATCGGTAGTTCAAAAACACAGAAATATCGATGGAAATATCGGAAAAATATCGATATCGATAAAAATTGGATAAAAACCACGGAAATTATGATAAATACATGGAAATTTTTAACGAAACTTTATAAAAAATTTATTTAGTCAATCATCTATTATTTTGACACAAAAGATTGGAAGGAAATGCATTACATAGTGGGTTTGAATGATTTAAGTTGATTATATTGCGAGCTGACAAACTCTATGACTTAGAAAATCTGGAGTAATTAATGAAAGAAAATTAAACACCCTCTAGTAATTTATTTATCATTTTTACTATAATATTTTACACTTTATAAAATTGCATGATAAAATACATGAGTAATCTTATTTCACGCTATTCACTGGACATGATACACGTTCTTATATTTATTATTTATCAAAAATTGAAAACTAATTAAAGATGTAAACCAACTTGATTTGTCATGAAAATTAGGCACTTTACCATGCTTAAAAAATAATAGTGAAGATTGAAAATTAACTAAGAACATAAATAAAATTATCCAAGGAAGAATTAAATAGGAAATAAAGAAAATGATTATAGAGATTTAAGTAATTAAGCAACAATTTGAAGGGGAATTTAGTAATGTAAGTATTTATATTGAATAATAAAATAATCAATAACATTAAATGGATTAAATAGGAAAGAAATAAATTATATTAAGTAATTAAATATTTGATCAACAATATAGAACAATAAGTAATTATTTTCTATTTTGCGAAACAGCTCGGAAGACTTATAAATATGAATTCCATAGGTACTAATTACAAAGAGACCACCAGTGTGGTGGTTAGGTGGCTCTAGAACTTGGAAGTGGGAGGGGTTCGAACCCCTGTGTGTTGAGTTCAAGTGAATTCTTTCATTTTTAAAAGTTCATATCGAACGATATGTTGACCATTTGCAAGGAAATATCGATAATATCAAGATAGGTCAGGGACCATTTGTAAGGAAATATCTAAAATTATCAGGAAACATCGAGGAAATTTTCGATAAATTAACAATAAGTGAATGGAAACATGCGAAAAGGGTAAACTATCGAATGACCCCCTAAACTTGTACATAACTATCAATTTGCCCCCTGACCTTTTTTTAGTGAATTAAGGGCTCGAATTAAATTTTATTATCAATGTTCCCCACCGTCAAAATTCCCACATTTCATCCATTAATCCGTCCATTTGACTCGCATTGACTCTCTTTTGAGAGTTATTTTGGTCATTCAGCGTGGATTGAGCTCTCCTAAACGCATTTTTAATGGTGAATTTGTTCAACTTTGGAGACTTATCTCCTGATATCGGATTTGGGAGATTAGAATCCGATGTCCCTCTTCGATTCCTTAAAGGTACCTCATTCATGTACTTTGAAGAAACCCCCATGCCCAATTTTCTCGAACTCGAACCCGCATTTGGAGACCCAACAATCTGGCTTGAACAACCACCACTGCACTCCGATCCCGAATCAAGAGTATCTGAAAAACTATATGAAATTCGCCGAGACGGTTTCTGATACAGAGCATTTTCGTCCACTAAAAATCTCCTAGGAACACGTTCGAATTACTAGAAAACTTACTCGAAGACGATGAAGAAGAAGGGGAAGTAGATTTTCCCAGAAATTTGAAGTCTCTTTGGTATCTAATCGACCCACTAATGATGGGTTTGTGATTTTCCTTGGCTCTCTCTCTCTCTCTCTCTCTCTCTCTCTCTCTCTCTCTCGAACAAACCCACTTCTATGCGGCTTCTTTACCTATCAAAGTTTGAATTTTTACGCTCGATATGATCTTTGAGCCTGTCGTTTCCAAGGTGATCGGCTAGAGTGTCGAGCTTCTTGTTTGATGATGAAGTTGAAGAGGGCCATAGTCCTTGGAAGAGGCCCAAGTCATCGAGCTGGGTTTTGGGTTTTTGGGTTTCGTTGAAAGGTGAACCGAATTTGTGCCGAATTGGAGAGATGGGCTTGGTTTGGAGATGGGAGGTTGGTGGTGGTTTCGAGCGAAGTGGCTGAAGTTGGTGATGACATAAACCTTGAGCTTACTTCGCGGGATTTGGGTCTTCTGGGTTTGTGAGATTGCTCTGTGACGACTTGATTGTTGTCATTCTTCTTCATGATTTGTGAGAGAGGAAGGGAGAGGGAGAGAGAAATGTTTGATTACTGGTGCGATGTCAGAAGTGTGTGAAGTGTGAGAACTAGGTAATTCAATCCACGCTGAATGACCAAAATAACCATCAAAAGAGAGTCAACGTGAGTCAAATGGACGGATTAACGGATGAAATGTGGGAATTATGACGGTGGGGGGAACATTGATGATAAAATTTAATTCGAGCCCTTAATTCACTTAAAAAAAGGTCAGGGGGTAAATTGATAGTTATGTACAAGTTCAAGGGGCCATTCGACATTTTACCCCATGCTAAAATATCACTACCCAAAAAAATGATAATTTTGTCGAAATATCGGCGATATTATTGATATTTTGTTCTATGATTAGCCTCGTAGCTAAAATTTTTTCAAATATTCATTACTCTTGGTGTGCATAACAAGAATTTCGTAAATTTTTTTTGAAAAAAAAGCGAATATAAGTGCAAATTTTAGCACGAATAAAGGAACAAGTAAAAAGCATATATGGGTTAACCAAGTTGGTTAGAATAGATGTGCTCCCACTCCACAACTGAGTTTGAATCCCCTATTTGTAATTTAAATTAATTTAAAATAGAATATCATTTGTATTAAAAAAAAAAATAATAATGCTCTCTACATTTTGTGAGCCGTTTTAGTGAATGCACAGGAGCAAAGTCTGTGCACGTGTCAACGAGAAGCAGCTAAAGGAAGCGGCTCATCTGCTTCCTTTCCTTTCCTGTATTTTCTGGGGCCAAAATTCAAACAGTATTTTGCTCAAAATGTACTCACAGTCACAGGAGCTCCTCCGAGACTAGTACCATGAAAATGAGGAAGAAGAAGAAGCTTCGAATTCCGTAGTGTCTCCGACAACGTGCTCAGAGGGCCACAGATCCACGCTCTTCCTCCGAACCAAGCAAGGCGGCTCTATCTGCTTGCTCTGCTTCTCCAACCTCATCTCCAACCCCCAATCGCCCACCGTCCACGTGTCCTGCACCCTCTCTCAGCTCTCTCAGGCCATCTCCTCCGACCCCCCTTTCCTCCGCTCTCTCCTCGCCTTCCACCCTCACTTCCTCGTCTCGCCTCTCGTTCATGCTCCCTTCCTTCGCCGACGACACCATCGCACGACAAGTCGTCCATCTCATTTCTGCTCTCTGTGAATCAGCCGCTGCCTCGCTCTCTGCTGACTTCGTCGCTAGGGTTTCCTTCTGCCTCTCTTCTGGTGCCTTGGCCTGGAGTCGCCGTCAGCTTTATACGGTATTTCCACCATCGACATCTCTCCATTCTCTCTTTGTTTGTCTGTGAATTCTGGAATTGCTGTTGAGACTTAGATAAACTTTTGCGGTTGTGATTTGTTTTCTGTTTGCTTCCTGAGAAAATGATTTGTGTTTCTCGGTAGCCAAACAGTGCGTGACTTGTTACGGTTGGACGAATTTGGTGAAATCGAGCTGGATTCTTCTACTGTTTCTCATATTAAAATTCTGTTTGTTTGCGAATTTACATATCAATTTTAAGATTTGGATACATACTTTGGTAATGTTATTCTGATTTTTTTTTTCCGAAGGTAATGTTATTCTGATAGTTTTGGTTTCTCATGGTACAACAATACTACAGTTGAAGGATTGTTAAATAAAACCTGAAATTGCCTTACTTATATTATAATGCAAAATAGGATGAGTTACTGTTGGTTGAGATCCTTGAATAGTTTGTCATGTTTCTTTGAAATTAGATTTATTTACTCTACAAGTCAAAATGAAATTTGAGTGGGCAAGCTAGGCCTTGAGAGTGAGAAATCTGAGTCAACAGTCACTACATGGGGGTGATCAGATTTCTTACTTGAACCCATGTCCAAGTTTAATGGCTATGTTTTAGAGTCTACAATGAAATCTCAACAATGATAAGCCTCTGTGCACCCACTGGTTTCTACTAACGAAACTTCTTTGAACAATGTCTTTAAGACTTACATGTAATTGATCTCAAAAGATATATATCCCTGCTAACAATTCTGCCATTCTTTAAATTTAGCTTAAACTGCCAGCAGAATAATCCTTACGCTCACATTAGAGACAAGTATGGCCTCATTACCAATCTTCAAGGTCTTGAATTGCCTAGGTAACAAATAAAGAAAACTGAGAATAAACCATGCTCCTTCCATGCATTTAGTACATTATAACTCAAATTCTCTATTTTATATATTCCTTTAACACAGTAAAGATATTCGGGGAGAAATCCTGTTTGTTCTATACAAGGTATCTATTCTCCAATACGCATCAGAGGTTGGTGATGGAACTGATTTTTCATTTGCCTTTTGCCCCAAGCTATTGCACTTGTCTCTAGAGGCCCTCATGAAGACCCAAAGCGATGATGTCCGCTTGAATTGTGTAGGTCAGTTTTCCACTTGTTTAATACTTTCTTTTTTGTGCCTTATAAGTGTGGTCCATTTTCCCATTACTTAAAGCACAGCTCAGCAAGATATGACTAGCATTTTGGTCAGCTTGTCATACCCCATGTGTCTCTATTTATTTAATTTTTCAGAGTAGGTTTTCTTTTTGGGCACATAGGCATATATAGATATCAAACCTGCAAACGAACTCCCTAATTACACCACAATTGTTTCTTGTTGATGTCAGACCATATTTTAAATGTGAAGGTGAAGGTCCTTGCAATTTCTTTCATATCATGACAAGATACTTTGCATCTTGAGTTTATTTAGAATCAAACCGTAAAAACGTTGCATCTCCAAGTGCTTGAGTCCTTGACTAGAGAACTTACCACCTGTAGCCGAAAAAAATTATAATTTTGAACCTTTCAGGTAATATATAACTCTTTGGGGAAGTGATCCTGACATAGCATGGAATGCTCCCCATTTTACATACACATTTACTCATTGGTATCAGTCCTGTCTTCTTGCAACTAACAATTTCCATATTATTTGTCCAGCGTTCTTGACAGTGATGACTCAGACTCAGAGAGGAGTTTTTGGGGCTGCATTTGCAGTTGATTTAAACAGCATGAGTTCATCCAAAGGAGATAGCTTTGAGCAAGCAACATAAGATGGACAAAATGTGAATCCAATGAATATATTGTTTACGGAGGCCATCAAAGGCTCACTGCTTTCAACAGACAGCCAAGTCCAGATCAGCACACTGGATTTACTGTTTAATTACATGGCCTCCTGGGAAGGCACTTCAGGCAAAGAAACGCAAGTCCTAATGGAAGAAAACATTGCAGATATGTATTTGAAATACTGAGATTGTCAGGTTAGTAAAGTTTCAGTGCCAAATAGAACAATAATAGATGTCCTCTGCTTGATATTTTTATGCTGATAGAGTTTCCTTTGAGTATTGCCTAACATCACGAAAACAGAAACTGTGCTGTTTAAGTCATATGAGTCAACAATTATAATATGCGTAAAAAGCACTAGTACCTGTTCTAGCAAAGATGCGTAAAAAGCATTTATAATATGTATATTTACATTGACCTGTTTAGTCCTTGTCACTATCGTCGGAACTCCATCTGTTCATGGGAATTTGAGTCTACAAATTTCAATTAAAGAAGAAATGCAACATGCTGTATTAGCTTGTCTAAGTATCTCGGAGAAGAATCCTTGTCAAATTTTGCACTCCTTGTTCCTACTTAAGGATGCTTCCTTTTTCAGTACTTCAAACATGAAAATGAGTCATTATACTTCTGTCCAGTTTGTTTTAGAATGAAAACTGGCTGATGGATTTTCCTAAAATTTTCGCCTCGGTCATTTCAGGCAGCATATTAAAAAGAGAGAGAATGCAGTTATTTTACACATTGCAGGCCTGCAGAAAACAGAAGTACACTAACAACAGTCAAGATGAAATTGCAAAAGAGCATAAAAAAAGGCGGTCGCCATCCTGGACGACAAGGGAGAAGTTTGCGAGTATCTCATTCACTTGATGTTATCCAACTCTTGTCTAGACTTCTGGGGGATTAAATTTTGGGGATAAGAGATTGTTAGAAGAAATAGAGCTTTTCTTTAAAAATTTAACAGTAACAGAGGGCAGCTAAGAAAATCATACGAGTTTAATTTTCTTTATTGAATCTCCATTTCTCATTTCATTAACTGCTGTGCACAGAGTGAGACACCAGTAGTTATGTACAGGTGCTTCCCATTTTGATCATTAACTGCACTGAGAGCTTAGAACTGAAGAGACATTACAGAATCAAAATACCCTTTTGTTAATGTAAATGCACTTAATATTTTTGTTGTACTCTAACTGTTTTGTTACTTTCATTGTCCAAAACTTAGGCGCAGAACATGATATATAATGATGATATAGCTGATCCAACACTTCATTAATTACCAGGCTTACAAGGAATGAATGAATGAATGATACTTTTCATAAAAATTCCTGAAATATTCAGTACAAAATCAGTGATCACTATACACAATTTCACCTAACAGTAACCGACCAAAATCGATCATTTTGGCCCAGAAATTAACAAATGAAAGTCTCTCATGGTTTTGAAGTTATCTTCAATAACCACATGTTTCTCCATCTCTTCGAGGGCAAGGCGAGCAGCATCTCATCCTTTTGCCGCTGTTTTTTGATGAACTCATTGGCTCTCATAATTTCTGCTTCTGCAGCTCCAAGCCTCTCGTTCTTGGCTTCGGTGGTAATTGTTGTAGTGTAGAGAGCATGGTGATGTTCTGCCTTAAGGGTTGTGTTGGCAAACCGAGCCTTCAACATTGCAACCCTAGCAGCCCTTCTCGGAGACAGATCATTATTGATCTCATGATTCCATGCAAAGGTGGCTTTGACAGGAGAGGCATGACAGAGATGAGGGCGTAGAACTGTGACTGGTGTTTCACAGCAACTTTGGGATTGGGATGAAGAAACCTCACAAGAAGTTAATGGGGGTACAGAGAAGGCCATGATCACCACCTTCAACTTCCTTGTTCAAACCCAAAGCACCTTCAAATTTCCTCTTCACACCCAACCCATAATCAACTTCATTTTTCTTGGAAGCCAAGCCACCGTCCACTTTCTTCTTCAAACCACCTTCAAGTTTCTTCTTCAAGCCCAATTTACCACCATAATGTTGGTATACAAACACTTGATACCAAACTTCTTTGACTGGGTGATTAGTTTACAAACTATATCACACTCACACTCATTCAAAGACAAGAATAAAGAAAGCGTATTTGGAGAATGACTGTTATTCTCTTATAATTCCTTATCATTCTCTCTATCTAAAACAACACACTGACAACTCTCTTTATAGAGTTTACAAACAGACATTGTGGTCCAGCAAGAACCACACACTATTATTAAATTAAAACCACTATAGAAGGCAACCAAAATAAAATACGAAAGGGCTGCTCACTATCATTGTGCCATAAGCACTTTGGTTTATTTACTCTGACACTATCACAGTGCATGAGGCACTTGATTTGTTTATTCCAACATTCACCCCCTCAAATCAAGAGTCCTTCATCCCAAGCATTCCACGTAGCTCTCTGAAGGAATCAAATGGAAGTGGTTTCGTGAAGATATCTGCCACCTGCTCCATGGTGTGACAATATTCAAGTACAATTGTCTTCTTCTTCACGTGCTCTCTCAGAAAATGGAATCTTATATTAATATGCTTGCTCCTTCCATGCTGTATTGGATTCTTTGCAAGCTTGATTGCAGACTTGTTGTCCACATGAATCACAGTAGATTCTTCTTGTGAGTGATTCAAAGACTTCAACAAATTTCTCAACCAAATGCCCTCGCATACAGTTGAAGAAAGTGCCACGTACTCGGCTTCACATGATGACAAAGCTACAATTGCCTGCTTCTTGGATGTCCAAGAGAAAGCTGTTGAACCAAGATAGAACACATACCCTGTAGTGCTTTTTCCTCCATCTCGATCACCTCCCCAGTCACTATCTGAGTAGCCAACTAGATTTGCATCTTCTCCATAAGCATAAAAAAGGCCAAAATTAAGAGAACCTTTAATATACCTTAGTATTCTTTTAGCAGCTAACTAGTGAGATTCTCTTGGTGTCTCCATGTAACGACTTACAAGTCCAACTCCATAAACAATGTCAGGTCTCGTCATTGTTAAGTACCTCAAGCTTCCAACTAGACTTTTGTATAAAGTAGAGTTAACAATTTTCCCTTCTCCCTCTTTTGTTAACTTGAGACCTGTAGCAACTAGAGTGTTGACAGAATTACAACTGTTCATCTGGAATTTCTCCAAGATCTCTCTCATGTATTTTTTCTGAGAGATGAATATTCCACCATTTTCTTGCTTGACTTCTATCCCAAGAAAAAAGGACATTAATCCATTGTCTGTCATCTCGAACTCCTTGAACATGGACTGTTTGAACTCAGCAAACATACTTTCACTACCACCAGTAAAAATTAGATCATCCACATAAAGACAAAGGATAAGAAATTCACCTTCACCACCATTCTTCATGTAAACAGAATGTTCATATGGACATTGAACAAATCCATTTTCTTGAAGATAACTGTCGATACGTGAATTCCAAGCTCTTGGGGCTTGCTTTAGACCGTACAAGGCCTTCTTCAAACGATACACCTTCTGTTCTTCACCTTTTATTTTGAATCCTTCAGGTTGTTCAACATAAACTTCCTCATCAAGAACACCATTGAGAAAAGCTGACTTGACATCAAGTTGGTAAATCTTCCAATTGTGATGTGCTGCAAGTGAGATCAACAACCCCACGGTATCAAGTCGAGCAACAGGTGCAAAGACTTCTTCATAGTCTATTCCATATTTTTGTTTGTAGCCTTTAGCTACAAACCTTGCCTTGTACCGATTAACACTACCATCTGCAGTGCGCTTGATCTTGTACACCCATTTGACACCAATAGCCTTCTGTTGTGGTGACAAATTTGTTAGCTTCCATGTATCATTCTTCTGAATTGCATGGATTTCTTCTTCCATTGCTGATTTCCAACAATCTTCTTGTACAGCTTCCTGAAACGATAATGGCTCATGATCTGCAAACAAACAAAACAAGTTTGTATTACCTTCTTCATGCTCATAGATGTCTGTGAGATCTCTCATTTTGATGGGGGTCAGAGAGATGCTGCTGCTGCGACTAGATGATGTAGCAGATCTGAGAGTTGAGGAGGGAAGACTTCGTGGAGTTGCTGAGAGCTCAGAGTTCTGTCGAGCAATCAGTGGGGTTGGTGTGTGTTCGGTGGACTGTAAAGGGCTTGGTGGAGCTTGGTGAGTGATTGGTGTTGCAACTTCTGGGAGTTGCCCAGGTTCATCCGCCACCAGAATTTCCGTGTTCTCTTTGCTGTTTCTTCTTCACTGAATATAACATCTCTACTGATCACCAACTTATTTGTTAATGGATTGTAGAGTTTGTAGGCTTTTGACTCCTCACTATATCCTACAAAGATACATTTTTCTCCACGATCATCGAGCTTCCTCCTTTTGGCTTCAGGTACTTGAGCATATGCAACACATCCAAAGATACGTAGATGTGTAACATTAGGTTTGTAGCCACTCCAAGCCTCTTGAGGTGTCTTGTTCTTGACACTCTTGGTTGGACATCTATTCAGCAAATATACTGAACATTGAACAGCTTCTGCCCAGAATTGCTTCGGCAAACTTTTCTCTTTTAGCATGGACCTCGTCATTTCAAGGATAGTGCGATTTTTTCGTTCGGCTATCCCATTTTGCTGTGGGGTATAGGCAGCCGTCAACTGATGCTTTATCCCCTGTTCTCTGCAAAATTCTTGAAATGCATTTGAAGTGTACTCACCCCCTCGATCAGATCTAAGAGTCACCAATTTACACTTACTTTCTACTTCAGTGCGAGCCTTAAAATTCTTGAATACAGTAAAGGCTGAAGATTTTTCTTTAAGAAAGTAAACCCACACCTTTCTACTGAAATCATCTATGAAAGTAATAAAATACTTATTACCTCCAAATGAAATAGGCTCCAATGGTCCATAAATATCCGTGTGTACCAATTGTAGTGGCTCTTTTGCTCTCCATGCTGTGCCTCTAGGAAAAGAAGTTCTTGATTGCTTTCCTAGTACACACCTTTCACAAACATGGTTCGGTGCCTCAATTAGTGGTAGACCATGCACCATTCCTCCCGTTGACAAAAGCTTTAGGCCATTGAAGTGAAGATGGCCAAATCGGAAATGCCACTTCCATGACTCTTTCTCCATGAGACCAAGGAAGCACTTTTCCTTCTTGGTATTTAGGTTCAACGGGAACATGCGATTCTTCGTCATTGGAACTTTTGCAATTAATCTTCCACTTGCATCTTTGAGGAAGAGAGAATTATTTTCCATGAGAACAACGTACCCCTTTTGGAGTAATTGTCCAATGCTGAGAATATTGCTTTTCATACTTGGAATATAGTAAACATCAGAGATGTATTCTTCTTTGCCATTTTTCTGGAAGATTTTTATTCTTCCCTTTCCTTCAACAGATAGCTTTGAAGAATCTCCAAGGCTCACATCTCCACGAACTTCTTCGTTGAGTTCAACAAAGAACTCTCTTCTTCCACACATATGGTTGCTTGCACCAGAGTCAAGGTACCAAACGTCACCTTGACCACCAGCTTCATTGTGTACTAACAAAAGAGTAGGTTCATTACTCTCATTGTTAGTTGCTTCTGTAAAGTTGACTTGGTCCTTCTTTTTCTCTTTTGAACACTCTGAGGCATAATGTCCAAGCTGGTTGCAATTATAACACTTGATCTTCTTTTTCTTTTCCTCACGACTTTCTGCGTTGCCACGTCCTCGTCCTTGGCCTCGACCTCTTCCGTGAGAACCTCCGCGTCGTGAACTTGATGCACCACTGCTTCCTCGTGATTTATCAAGATTTAGCTTTGAATCCAAAGCTTGGTTAGGTGGTGTGGATGTCAAATGCTTCTGCATACGTTGCTCATGAACTCGGAGAGATCCTAGCAGCTCCTCTGCACTTATCTTTGCCAAGTCTTTTGATTCTTCAATCGCTGTCACCACATGCTCAAAGCTGTGTGTGAGAGACCGGAGAATTTTCTCCATGACTCTAACATCATCAACTTTCTCACCATTTCTCTTCATTTGATTCACAATCGATACCAATCGTGAATAGTAGTCGGAGACATTTTCTCCTTCATTCATATGGGCGGATTCGAAGTCGGCCCTTAATGATTGAAGGCGTATTCTCATAACACAATCAACACCTTTGAAAACGGTTTTGAGAATATCCCACGCTTGCTTGCTCGTCGTC